CTCCTAGCAGCTCCTCGCTCACTCACTCACTGGCACGCAGACAGTTTTGGTCACCAAATGTCTACCTTCCCCTGTGTCCTATGCAGGGAGAGTGGGGATGGAGCTCTAGGTCGTGGTTGCCTTCTGGGTGGCTGTCACCCCTGAGTTAGGTGCTGCAGCGAAGGGAAATGGGTGGTTACTGTCTCCAGCCAGAAGGGATTTGCCTGTGGTCCCGGGGCAGAGCAGGGAACTGAGCCCAGCTCCCTCGCATTCCAGCCTAAATGCCACTGTCATCCTCCAGGTATTCCAAACCTTCTCCCAGACCATTCCCCCCAACCCCCAGTGACTTAATTGCTGTCGTTGCTTTTTGTATGAACCCCCGTGGCTTTTGATGTACAGATGTGCCTAAAACCAAGGACTACTGCAGAGTAAGAAAGCATTTTATACATTCTTTGTTATTAAGCACATTGAAACACCACCACCATCACTTTAATGAAGAATTTCTCTCCTGCTACTTCTTACTTGAATAGGGCATAATCTCTGATCTGTGGTACTGAACCACAGCATCCTGCTCTCTGCCACAGGGAAAATAAAATGTCTTCTTCGGGGAAGCGAGAAAGCAGCTCGTTTACCCGAGCAGATTGTGTTTTTTAAGTATCCTTATTGCAGCTGAGTATTTGTTTACATTTGTAGGTGTGCAGTCAGGACGCTAATAGTTCCCAGCGGGCTTTCAGATGTTCTTCTGAGAGACCAATCTTTTTGTGCAACCAAAATAACGAGGAAACTAAAATACAGCTTTATTACGAAAGCTGATTTTGCACATGATAGCTTCCAGAAACGCTACCCACACACTAGAGGCAACACTGCAGATTCTTCTAATGATGTATTTCATGCCTTTTACCCCCCGTGCAGAGTGTCCACAACCAAGAAAGGGAAAGCAGGACTCCAGCCCGGTTCAAGCTCCACCAGAGCAGCTGGAGCTGCGTTCCAGACGTACAGTGCATTCTTCCCCACTGACATGATCCCAGAGGCTGCACAAATACAGGATAAAACTGAAAAAGACTTAATTGGGCTTCCAGCATGACTTATCTTCATTATTGCCAGTAACTCAAATCCTTATTACTCCCATACCATTCCAAGATTGCCACCTAAGGAGCTTTTTTTTCTGCTTGTGAGCGTCTTATGCAGCAATTCAAGCCCACAGGCACACAGAGACTCTGGTGCTGCTCCTGTAATAGTCCAGCTCTCCTACCTACCCAGAATCTGCACAGAAAAAGTGACAGGGCTGCCATTTTGAGTGTCCTGGAAGGTCTTATCAAATTAAGAAGTAAAACAGCCTTACACTGAACATCGTATTCAGAGGTGCTGGAGCACTTCTCCTATGAGTACAGGCTTAGAGAGACGGGGTTATTGAGCCTGCAGAAGAGAGGAGACTCTGGTGCTGCTCCTGTAATAGTCCAGCTCTCCTACCTACCCAGAATCTGCCCAGAAAAAGTGACAGGGCTGCCATTTTGAGTGTCCTGGAAGGTTTTACCAAATTAAGAAGTAAAACAGCCTTACACTGAACATTGTATTCAGAGATGCTGGAGCACGTCTATGAGTACAGGCTTAGAGAGATGGGGTTATTGAGCCTGGAGAAGAGAGGACTCTGGGGAGACCTTAGAGTGGCCTTCCAGTAACTGAAGGGGGCCCACAGGAGAGATGGGGAGGAACTCTTTATGAAGGAATGTAGTGATAGGGTGACGGGGAATGGTTTTAAACTGAAAAAGGGGAGTTTTAGATTAAATATAAGGAAGAAATTCTTCACTCTGAGGGTGGTGAGACACTGGAACAGGTTGCCCAGAGGAGCTGTGGATGCCCCATCCCTGGAGATGTTCAAGACCAGGCTGGATGGGGCTTTGAGCAACCTGGTCTGGTGGGAGGTGTCCCTGCCCATGGCAGGGGGTTGGAACTCAATGATCTTAAGAACCCTTCCAACCCCAACCATTCTCTGATTCTGTGATTCAACATTGTAAGACATACTTGCCTCAGCTACAGCTACCCATTTTTTCCTTTTTAACCCCAGTTAGCTGTGATGCCCCATCCCTGGAGATGTTCAAGACCAGGCTGGATGGGGCTTTGAGCAACCTGGTCTGGTGGGAGGTGTCCCTGCCCATGGCAGGGGGTTGGAACTCAATGATCTTTAAGAACCCTTCCAACCCCAACCATTCTCTGATTCTGTGATTCAACATTGTAAGACATACTTGCCCCAGCTACAGCTACCCATTTTTTCTTTTTTAAGCTGTCACATTACTCCATTTTCTTACCATGAAGAGTTCACATCAGTTGCCTTGTGGCCAGAGTCAACAGCATTCTGGGCTGCATTAGGCAGAGCCTTGCTGGAAGGTCAAGGGAGGTGATCTTTCTCCTCCATTCAGCACTGGTGAGGCCACACCTGGAGCACTGTGTCCTCTGCTGGGCTCCCCAGTACAAAAGAGATATGGACTTACTGGAGGGAGTCCAGCACAAAGATGATTGCAGGACTGGAGCATCCCTCATATACGGAGAGGCTGAGAGAGCTTGGACTATTCAGCCTGGAGAAGGCTGGATGTATATAAATTCCTAATGGGAGAGAATGGAGGGAGCCAAACTATTCTCAGGAGTGTCCACTGACAATTAAAAACCATGAAACTTCATTTGAACACAAGACAACACTTTTTTTACTGTAAGGGCTTTCAAACACTGGATTGGGTTGTCCGGAGAGCTTGTGGAGCCTCCATCTGTGGAGATATTAAAAAGCTGACTGGAGATATTCAGAAGCTGATGGGGCCCTGGGTAACCTGGGGGGTTGGTTGGGCCAGATGATCTCAAGGGGTTTCTTCCAACCTAAATGATTCTGTTTACTATGGATGTTGAATGTATAGGTTATCTGTGCTCTAAAGAATAATTAAAGGACAAGAAATTTGAATGAAGCCTGAAATCTAACATACAATGTCATAAATGTAAGGGGAAAAAAACAGCAAAACAAACTGTAGCTATTTTAAGTGTTGGGATGGTAAAAATTTAACAAGCTATGCGATACTGAAGAAATGGGTAACAGTTTTTATCTTGATCGTCATACTGTGAGCTGTCATGAATTTTCCTCCAACCTAAATGATTCTGTTTACTATGGATGGTGAATGTGTAGGTTATCTCCACTCTAAAGAATAATTAAAGGGCAAGAAATTTGAATGGAGCCTGAAATCTAACATACAATGTCATAAATGTAACTTTGACTCCAAGTTAAATAATGAAATCCAGACACGATGCTACCAGACGAGGGGAAAAAAAGAGCAAAACAAACTGTAACTATTTTAAGTGTTGGGATGGTAAAGATTTAACAAGCTATGCTATACTGAAGAAATGGGTAACCGTTTTTATCTTGATCATCGTACTGTGAACTGTCATGAATTACACTGTAAGAATTCCATAAAATGAGTTCATCTGACACAGACAAACCAGAAAAGTAGCGTGCTGCATATGTCTACGCATGGGAAAACCTCTTCCCTTAGCACCTCCGTACAAGCCTGTCTCCTCACCGAGGTTTCCCCCTGGTGTCAGCGACAGCAGCCGTACTGTGGTTTTACCCAAAGCTGCCTAATTGTGCGTGCTGGCTGTGGTTTTACCCAAAGCTGCCTAATTGTGTGTGCTGAGGAGGAGAACACGGCAGTTAGGGGCTGGCTGTGGGAACTGTTGTTGGCAGGAGAACCGTAGCTGCTGAGCCAACGTGTAACGCTCAGGACGAACTCCTGGGACGTGGGCCTTTGCCCCTGCGCCCGCTAACCAGTGCGGATACCCACTTCTCCTGCCATGGCTTGGACAAAAGTCACGGGCAGTTGGGCACAGAGTGGCACGGCCGGGTCACAGCAGCACGTTGGCAGGGACACAGCATCACTCCAGAGGGAAAGATGCGGGACTGACTGATTTCAGGGTGGCCCGGGGCAGGTGGTGGCAGCAGGAGCCCAGCGGCCTCCTACCCCTCACCCTGGGCCTGGTGGTGGCAGGAGAACCCTGGGCCTCCCCTCCACCCACCGGCCCCAGCCTCGCCGTTCGCCCTGACCGAGCCGCACTCTGCGCCTGCCCGCCGCCCCCCTCCGGTACCCCTCTCCTCCCGGGCACCCTCATCCCCGCAAAACTCCCCCGCAAACCCCGTCCCCCCCGTCCAAAGCCCCCCCCAGCAGCTCCCGGCGCCTACATCTCCCAGCGTGCACCGGGGCGCGGCCGGGGTGCCGCGCGGCACGCTGGGAGTGGTAGTCGGGCGTTGGCGGTTGCGCAGCGCCGGTTGGGGGCGCGCGGCCGGCGTCGGTGTCTGGTCGGCAGACGGCAGCCATTGCCGCCGCCGGGAAGAGCCGTTCCCCTTACGGCCCGCAGGACTCAGCGCTCGGCGACGGTGAGCGGCCGCCCCTCCTCGGCTCGCTCGGTGGCGGGGGGGGGGAATCGGGCGTCGAGTTGCGAGCGGGGGTTTCGTGCAGCCGGGCCCTGCTGCGGGGCGGGGACGGGCCCGGCCTTTCTTGTGGCGGCGCCGGGCTGAGGGGGAGGAAGCTGCGCTGGGAGGCCTCGCTGGCGGCCTGGGCCCGGGCGCTGGCCCGTGGGTAATGGAGGCCCGACGGCAGCAGGCCGCGGAGGACGCAGCCCCGCACGGCGGGTTTGGGGAGGGGGAGGGCTGATGCCGGCGGTTTTGCTGGGAGGTGAGCGTAAAGCCGTGAGGGGCCATCGCCGCTGGGAGGGCCGACGCCTGGGTGAGGGGGGCACCCATGGAGAGGGCCCCCCTGCCTCGGGGAGGCGGCGGGGTCTGGCGCAACCCCGTCCCGTCTCGACTGGCCCAAAAAGGCGAAGGAGCAGATGGTCTTTGGCCGCGGCCCCGTGCTCGCCCGAGTGCTTGTAGGCCAGCGTGTGTGATCCCGTGAGGGACTAGTCAGCAAAGGCATTGTGCAAGGAACAACGTGTGAAGCTCTGCGACTTGCAGGTGTCGATAGGGATCTCAGACCCATTGTGCTCCCTGATGTTTGACTCAGTCATTCACGGGCAGATAGTTTGCACGTCCTCCGCTGTGTCTATGAGTTTCTCAGGCAGTCAGTTCCATCCACCCCACGTTCGTTTCCTTCTGCGATTCTTCTCTCTTCCCCGCTTTGTTTTTCTAGAACGAAGACAGCAGTTATGCAGTCGTTTTAAGCTGTCAAATCTATGTTGTCCCCAAAATGAGTGCTGTTGCCAGAGTGACTGTTCTTGCTGTGTTTTAAAGCACATAGTTACGTAAGTCTGTCCTTCCTCTGCAAAGACCTGGATTTCCCTTAATACTCACTGCTGGCCTTGCCGGTGTTTGTGTGGTGAGGGTGCTTCGGGGAAACAGTCTGCTGGAAGACTGGCTACTCCACGAAGGAGCTGAATCAGTCCTCTGAGCTGGATTTGCATGTGGGCATAAAGATGCAAGTGTGAGCACAAAGGAGGGAATGGTCACAAAGGGCAGCTTAAGCTCTTGTAGGGGAAGCACAGAACTTTTCACGTGAAAGCGATTAAGTAGCTATCGCCTCAGGTTCGGTGACAATTTAGGTAAAGTGCATGCTGTCACACTTGTACCCCTCGGCCCATAAGAAGCCCTATACCCTGCCTTCCAAAGTTCTGGCACTGCTCTGGTGGCACAGTGAGCCCAAGTAAAGAAGTTAATCGGCAGAAACCTAATGGGTGTTAACACGCAAGGTAAATGATGCTAATTCAAAATACTACATCCAAGTTGTCTTGAACTACTTTAACAGCTGTTGTGGTATGTTGTCTGTTTACTCTGTCTGCTTTAAAGCCCAGTATTATAATATAAGATCACATTGTATTTCCACTCCTCGGGGCCTGGATTCTTTGTTTTTTGTATGACAGCAAGCTGACAGAGTAAGCCAAATAAATAATATTTTCCAGTGACAGGAAGTTAAAAATTTCAAAATCACATAAACTGGAAAAGTGACATAGGGTAAACAATGGAACTTCCATAAAATATTTCAAATTTTGTATCCTGCATCAGTAGATAGTTCTAATCTGAATATTTGAGATGGTCTTTGCTTTTGCCATTGTTGAAATCTTCCAGTAACAAAATGTTTCTTCTTCATAACTTGAATAACCTATTAAAATAAGGTATTTTATGGTTAGTGCTAATCAAAATAATTTGATGACTACCGTTTATCTTTTGGATGTTAATGTAACTTATTGCCGCAATTCTTTCAGGTGAAAGCAAAAGTTTGAGAACGTTTTATGTTGTTTTTCCAATTATTAGCATAACAGTTTTGTTCTTTTTTTTTTTTTTGTTAACAGCTGTTAGCCTAGTAGATTCATCTTGGAGTTTATAGAGTGGGTTTTTTCATGCTCTGTGGTACAAAAGCCTTATTAGTGTAACAACAAACAAAAACATTGTTTCAAATACAAGAAGTCTTTAAATTACATGACTAAAAAGGACAAACTGGGACTTCTGTCTAGGTTCTAATAGTAGTCAGTACGACAGGATTTTCTCATTTCTCTGGCTATAGAGAATTGGGTTAACATATATGCCAGGAGGGCAATAAAATCAAATCCTATTTAACCAAGATTTCTGAGATGTAAAAGTGATCTTAATTACCCTATGTTAAGTTTGTTGATCTGATAAACAGTGCTGTTTTCTTTCTTAGCATCAACCTTAAGATGAGTGGCTGCCGGGTCTTTGTTGGACACTTAAGCTCACGTGCTCGGGAACGGGATGTGGAGAAATTCTTCAAAGGATATGGACGTATACGAGAAATCCATCTAAAAAATGGGTTTGGATTTGTGGTAAGTAATACTTTATTTTTCTTTCTCTTACTTGCAGGTACTAGCCTTGCTAAGATTCTCTAGAGCATCTTCCCTTGTCAAGGAAAGCAAGATGTTATAGAGAATATTAGTTCCAGTGGGAAATGGGTAGTATTAATATACTTTTCAGACTGCTTTTCAAATGTTGGGATTACAGTTTTAACTGGGTTTTGCTGGGTTTTGCTCAAAATCTTGGTAGTATTCTAGCTACATTAAATACACTGTCTAGTCATAGTCTTCCGTGGATTTAAATTGTATCCCTTATTTCTGAAGACAGTATAAATATCCTGTAATGGCATTTCAAAACTTGACAAAGTCTCGACCTGAAGAAAAGTTTATGCAGAACCACTTGTGTTTCTCTCTCACTCCTTCTAGTCTGCTTGGTCACATCTCTAAATAATAGCCCGACATAAAAGCAAAGTAGTTGGCTAAGACAACAGGTGTAATAGGTGCTTGCTGTTGGATTTAAGCACAGCTTTTAACTCTTGTGCAGCTAAAGTTAGGCATATTCACCACTAAAATGTGTTCACAGGATCTATGTGTCTGTCAGACTATTAAATGAAATACAGTTTATTGGATCTTAGTTTTCTACCAATGCTTTCTAGAGCTGTCTGCTCCTAAACTGTTGTCCAAATTTTTACAGCTTTACATGTTCCCAAGTTGACTCAGGATCAGCCTGCTTCTTAACTATTATCTCTTGAGAACTGATAATTAGCTGTTCAGCTCCACTGAGTTCAAACTGGAAAGGCTGATATTGCCCTTGCACTATGGCAGGCTTACGTGCCATTTGTTCTGCCAAGATCAATCCCTTGGGTGAAGCTATGGGAAAAGAACAAAAAAACAGGTTTTGCCTACTTCAATTTCATACAAGTATTATTTCTTGACTCCTACACGTGCCAGTTCCTGATTGCCCTGGAATATGAGCTACGTCTTGTTGACTGCCAGTAGGTAAATACCTGCCGGAGGTAAATGGTCAATCTAGACGTGAGCCTGAGTTTATTTAGTATGTCCTTTCCAATTGCTGCTATTTCTCAATCACCTTTCCCAGAGCGTTGCTCTTCTCTTCTTGGGCAGGGCTGTTGACTCATTCAGGAACAACTTCTGTTCAGCTCCTATATGTGAGTCAGCCAACCCTCCTTCCTCTCTTCTCCAGTTCCTGGGCAGAAGCATTTTCTTTTCACAGCTCACTCATAAGCTTGAATAATTGTCCCATGACTGTTTAAAAAATCCAATTGTTCTCATGATGAAGAATTTTTTCCTTACCTCTGAACACAATTTTCCCCGCCTTTACCTGTCATCCCGTCACTGTGCACCCACATGAGGAAAGCGCTTCCATCAGCTCTGTAACTGTGATTTAGGTTTTGGAAGACTGACTAGATCCCCTTTTTTTCAGGATGAACAGACATGGCTCTCAACCTTTCTTTTTTCACCTACCTTCTGATCAGATTTGGTAGCCCTCTGCTGGTCCTGCTCCAATTTCTCAATGTCTTGAGCTGAAGAGACCAAAACCGGACACGGTGTTCCAGGCGTGGCCCAACAAATGCCAAATAGGGTGGAATAATCACATCCCTTAGTCTTGTGGCTGTACTCTGTAAGCTGCTCTTACGGAAGCAACCCAGCAGGCAGTTTGCTTTCATTGCAGCAAGGCCACACTGCTGACTCACACTTAGCTGACTCTCCACAAGGATTTCCATGTCCTTTTCAGCAGAGCTACGCTCCAGCCACTCGGATTCTAGTCTGTTCTGCTGCTTGGGATTTTTCTATCCCAGATGCAGGACTTCACATGTATCTTTTGTTAAAACTTGCAATTCTTCTTGACCTAATCTTTCAGCCTAGCAAGGTCTCTGTCTGGTGTTTTTTTCTCCTGGTATATCTATATTCTCCTCCCACTGGTGTTAGCCACAAAATTATTGAGGGTGCACTCGGTCCTGTCATCCAGATCATTTATAAATACATTGAATAGCATAATCCTTTGCGGTGCCTCACTTGGGATGGGCTGTCAGTTCATCTTTGGTTTTGGTTATTTAAAATCTGTATTTATAAAACCTCTTTAAAAACCAAGTGATTTTGATTGAACATTGTTGTAGTGTTAAAAGCGTGTTTCTTTGCGCTTGATTGAAGTCATTGCTTGATCTTTGAAATTAATTATATTTACTTAAATTTTGTAGGTTTCAGTGCAGAATGTTACCAGACTTCAGGCTGTAGAGCTAGTTGGTAAAGCTAGATAGACTTGCAGACATATAGTTTGTTAGAAACTAGCTGAAGTCATGGGAGTTGTAGGTGCTACCTATTGATATTCTTAAATTCTGGGCCTAAATTAATTTTCTCAAGACAATCTTTGCATCATCATGCAAAGATGTGTGATATTTCACTCAGTAGTGAGACAGATTTCAGTGCAGAAGGGGTAAGATTGCTTAAGCAACACTGTATTGCTTCTGAAAAGCTGTTTATAGTTATGCAAACGCTTTCTTCAACTTGAGAAGCCTCTTCTCTGTTGTTCATTGCTCTCAAGCTGCATTTCCACAGTTGTGTTTTTTTCCCCATCCACACTGTTGGTTCAAGCAGTCCCTACCCAGCAGCTTGTTCTCACTGCTTTCTTCCTTTCCTTTCTCCTTTGGCTGCATGTGGTTGTTCAGCCACATAATGAACCTACCTGGGAAGCTGATCTAGTTGAAAAATAACAGTCTTTTTCACCCCACCCCCTGCACAAAGAGTGCTGCTTTTCATCTGGATAGGTTTCTTGACCTAGTTTCCTGCAGAGCTGTACAAACAGCTTTGCCAAGAACCAATGGGCTGGATAGTGGGCAGAGGCTACTCAGGCTGACTAAAGCAGCATTGCTGCCAAGAGCGAAGCAGCAGATTCCATTGCAACAGTATATGGAATTGCATATTATGGCTGACCCAGACCCACAGGTGGCCAGTGTTGAAGAGGTGCTTATGTTTCTTACTCTTCTTACACAGGCGCCTTTTTGCCAGAAAAGTGAGCTGAATTCGTTGAGGAAAAAATCAGAAATGGCTTTTTTTCTTCTACTTTACTCTTTTGTTGCCAATTCAGTAAGAACTGAATCAGCCCCAGAACTCTTCAGAGCCTTTTGGGAGTGCACAACTCTCCTGCTTTTGGTTGCAGATTGTTATATGGATTTCCCTGGATGTAGGATTGTGTTTTAAACTGAAGTAATTTCCCCCCATCTCAAAAAAAAATAATTAAAAATGTCTGTAATACATCAGGTAATTTAGTTAGTTTATTTTATATGTCCTGCAAATAGTTATACTGAAACAACTGAAGGAAGCAAAAGGAGTTTGCGGGGTGGAGGGAGAAGAAATGGCCATGAATAGGAACATCTGGTTTTCAGTCATAAATGTATTGGGAATTCCCTTCCTTGTTCAAAGTTCTGGCTGATACTTGCTGCAGAAATATAAAATTTATAAAGAAGACCTGTTTTCTAGCATTTGAATGTACTATCAGAAAAAATATATTTTTATTCATGTTTTCTTTCTAGGAATTCGAAGACCACAGGGATGCTGATGATGCAATTTATGAATTAAATGGTAAAGAGTTGTGTGATGAAAGGTAAGCTTCATACCATAATTTCACTTACCAACAGCAAAAGTGCTTTGCATTCAAATACAGTGCATTAGCTTGTGCTCTGACACCTGCTTCTTGTGGCTCTGTGGTGGGATACACCTTTCAGAACTCTAGTTAAAGAGAATCATTGGGACCCTGGATAAAGTCTTACATAAGGCAAAGATAGTTGGGGACTGAAGGGAGTGGTGATTTGGAGCAGGGCTGACTAGTTCTGCACTTGCACTTATTTCTCCTTCAAATCTGACTCAAGGTCTTGTCACCAGAAATATTAGTAAAAGTGAATTGAACTTATTTATTTGTTGGAGTGTGGCCCTTCAGTTTACAACAACGTGGACTATAGTCATTGTATGTTACAGTAAATTTTATTTTGATTGTGCAAATGGGTTTAGGTCATTAGGTTATTGTTACTTATTTTGGTACTCTTTTCCCTCTGTGATTAATCTTGGGCTCTGGTTGAGCAAATTTAATTGTTTCAGTCTGAATTACAGACCCATGACAATTTTCATTGAAGTCTGAGAGAGATGAATGAGGCAAGGGAATACCATGGTTCTGGCTCTTTAAGAAATGCCAGTGACTATGTTATAAATCATTGCTTGCAAGGGCAAGATAATTCTTGTTTGTGCACATGTGCTTCCAGTTGCAAAAGATTTAAGTCAATGTCAAATACTTAAAGTTTGCGTTTTGTTTTAATTTTTGTTTGTTTGTTTTGTTTTGTTCCTATCGTAAGGGTTACAATTGAGCATGCTCGAGCCCGAAGAGGAAGGGGCAGATTCCCACAACGGTTCAGTTATTACCAGTCACAGAGTGGATCTAGGTAGGTGGTCTGGTCTCTGTTTCCTACAAACAGAATAACTGCAGAACTGTACTGAAATACTGTTTTCTTCGTGTGGTTGGAGTTAGGGATCCAGCTCTGTTTCCTTGTATAGCTTTATGGAAAAAGTTTTATGTTCTCAAACCTTGGAGGTCCATTACTGTTATTTACCTCCTCTGGCTGGGAGAACGTGGATTTTAAAGCAGTTTTAACTGGCTCACAGAGGTTCACAAACCTGTTGTGAAATGCTCCCTCTCCTTCTTGTAGGCACTACATTGGTCTTGCTTCCTACTGTTGTATAAATGATGTGAAGGAGTAATGGTGCAGCTGAATTGGCTGTTTTCAACACAAAATCAAGAAAAATGCCAGAGCTTTGTTATTGAGGCTTTTGTCATTAAACTGAGCTTACAGGCTTAGTAGAATTATTGTAGAGCAGTAGTTCAAGGTATTTGCTCTCTAACCCAGCTTTCACATTTCCAGTTGTATGGTGACAAAAATGCTTACTTCAGCACAGCATACAAAAGGAACTGTATTGGAGAAACACTGCTAGGGCACAAGACACTAGCATGTGCAGAAGTGTTTAAATACTAGTGGACTAAGTTTGCTGACCGAGCACGTGCCTTGCAGAAGGAGAGCCTCTGTCTGAGGCTGGAATCTGAAAAACAGGACGTAGTTCATCTCTAGAATATCTGTAGTGGACACGCAGTATTTGTGGAGATGTTCACTTTCATTGATTTGAGTGGTGAACCTTGCGCCAACTTGGTGGAGTTTGTGAAAGTTATGCAGAGTTGCATATATTCCACTAAACAACTACACAATAATGTCTTTGTACTTTATATCTACCTGTGTGATGTAAATATGTATGGAATAATTTACTCTGTAAGGACATTTATAGCCATGGCCTATTCAGAGTACAGTTTGGAAGAAAGATGAAGACTTAACTGACATAAACCTCTGCGATTGTTTCAAAGTCAGAATTGCTGCCAGTTACAAACCAGTGTCTGGAACATCTAATTTGCATATGCAAGTATGCTAATTAGATTATTTTTTCTTTAGTGGCAGTAACCTTGATGCGGTATAATTGGTCCGAGGTCCAGGCTAAAAGTGGACTTTTAAAGTAGGAAGTGTGATTGAAGGTCGTGGGCATCTGACGTTGTAGTCATGTTCATGACGTCAGACTGCCGATGCCAGACAGGAAGAGACTGCCGTTTGCAATAATGGAAAAATGAGACTGAGCCTGCCTGTTTTGGGACTCTGGGACCTCTGTTTAAATGCCTGGAAGATCTGGATGTTCTGAAAAAAATTGGGACACTTTGAGGTATGCACTGAAATGAAATTGCCTGTGCTTCAGTGTACAAATCAATACACACAATTTAGGATTATGTTTTATGGGAGGAGATGATGAGAATAATTTTCTCTGAGATCAGTGTTCTTGATCCTTGAATCTTTTTCGTAGTAATACAAAGTACTGACATAGTTACAATCCTGCATTACTTTTAAAAAGGCTGGCATACCTTTTTCTGTGGTTCTCGGATCCACTTGGATTCAGGGTAACAAGGATTGAGGACAGAAATGACCTGCAAGGACAGTATTCTTTCCAGATGTCTTACTTTTCTGTATGAACATTTTTAAGCCACATTTTCATTTTGAGAGAAGCTTTAATTTTTGGTGAAGTGAAAAAAATGGGTTTCATTCAGGAACTATAAACTGCCACGGTTATTGCAGGGCAACCAGTTATCTAGCTCTCTTTTTATTAAAACATTTCTACCCACAAAAATATCTAATATAGGTTGTGGTGGCATTTATAAATATTAACTAGTGAACTGGAATTTACAAGCATGAACTGAAATGCCTTTAAATTGTGCTTTCCATCTCCCTGACGTGAAGCAGAATTTATCCTACTAACTAAAAAAAAAAAAAAATTGTAAAAATTGCCTTTTACATGAATATCCTCCAAAACTGTGTGTGAGCCAAGCCTATCAAATACCAGAATTAAACTAATCGTCTTTATATTTTTATTTTTTTTCATTCTCCTAGGCACTTGTTTCAGTGTATCTAGAAAAAATGGCAGCTCTATTGACTGCCTTGATATAAAGTTCTTCATCAAAATCCTTTCTAACCCCCTTGTAGCAGCTGTCTTCATGTAGTGGACTCTTAAATGTATTTTTGACTAGGGAGAATCAAACCTGCAGTCCAGCAACAAGGAAAATACTTAAATCTCTCAGCAAACTATAGAAAACAGCAGATTTCTTAAATTGTAAATTCCTTACACTGGAGACTTTTTCCTTTTTTTTTCTTCCCTGTGAACTCTTGTAGCCGGTATGGCCCTCCTGTTCGTACTGAACACAGGATCATAGTTGAGAACCTTTCATCCCGTATCAGCTGGCAGGTGAGTTATCTGGTCTTTGTGTTTTTACACCTTATTTCCCTACCCTGTAAGTAGACTGCTCTCAGACTAATTTCTTAATAAAGCCATCATAAGTATTTAACCTGAATAAAAAATAAGAAGAAATGTTTGGTTTCACAGCTGTGCAAATAAATCTATAACTAGATTTTGTAGTTGGGAACTGATTCTTGCTTACTTGTGTTTACCTGCTGATTAAACTTTTGAAGGCCCTAGATTGTTTCTCAATTATTGAAGCATAGCGTCCCTCCAGACAGCATTGTCCTTTTGTATTGTTACACCTGGAAGTACATGCCTTTGTTTTGAGTGAAATTTGGGGTCTTATGTTTGGCAAAATGCTTTTGTGACACGATGCATGATTGGAAAGACTGGTAATATTTAATTAATAAAGGGAATCTTAAGAAAGCTACTGTGTAAAATATGCTTACTTTAGATATTTTTTTTAAAACCCTAATTTTCAGTAATTGTATTTTGATGTTTCCTTGCCACCTTGTTTATTCATTTTTTTTTCACCTCTTGCTAATGTTTTGCTGATGTTTACCTGGCTTTTAACAGAATAACTATGTAATCAGTTCCTTTGGTTGTATTCTACATAGTACACAGTCTATGGAAAGTTTACTTTTTAAGGGCATAGCAACAGATGCTATTTACAAAATGTGGGTAAATGGTGGAGTTTAGTCATGTTCATTAACCTTTATATTCTTTGAATAAAGAGACTTTAATTACTGTACTGAAAGATGCAGTAGAACGTGCTGAATGTTCAAAGCCCTGGTCTTGCAGCTAAATCGGCGTGAGGAGGCTGTTTGGCTTGCCTGGAGCTCTGCTCATGTGTTTCATAAGCACTTGGGTACAATCCATGCAGATAAACGGTTGAACTAGGTTTGTTTATCTTCTGCATGACAGGTTCAAAAGGTTCATAATTGTACGGTTGTATTAATTATTGAATAACTAAAAAAACAACTTGTGAGCTGATGTGATGAGCCAGTGGATTTAATCTGACTCTCTTCTGGGTATGCTATGCAAGTATGTATATGGAGAGATGGCTTTAAAATACAGCGCTTGGAAGTTACAGCAGGGACCAGACAAGTAAGCAAGAATGGAGTATTAAGGAGAGTAAATCTTATAATGTGGTTAAATTCATAACTTGAAAAAAAAATAACATTTCTGTAACTTTTTTTTAACTTGTAAATATTTATAATGGCTTTATGTGTACTTGCTGTTTTGGACTGAAGCCCACCCAATTCAGATTTCATACTGATGAATCTTTAGGACTAATTAAATGTTTTAATGACTCTCTTAAATATGTGTTAAGTTAGCGTAAGAGACTTTACTTCTTGATTCCTGCCTAAATAGAAATTGTTTGAAGCTAAAATCCATAAAATCCTCATTTAGTTTTGAAGCTATACTGACTATAGTGTTTTAACTTCTTTTAACTGTGCTGCTTACACAACAGATTAAAATGGCTGACACATTAACAGTAGTGGCATTATTCTTCCTTTCTAATCCCTGAGCTTCTAGCAAGCACAATCAATATGAAACCATGCTTTAAAACTGGCATGCATAATTTCATCTTTGGTGTGTGCAGATCCTCATGCTTTAAGAACTTCTGGCTCCTTTAAAAGTTTGTGTTGAGATATTTAAGTAAAAAAAATGACAATGACAAAAAAACAAATGCAAAACCCTCGCCAACAATAAAATTTGTATTCAGATCAGTTCCCTCAAATTGTTGACTATATTGTTAACAGAATTGTCAGAATTCTCCTTATTTTAGCAAACATATTTCAGATGTTCAGAGCTTTCCAACAGCCCTAATGAGTTCTCTTCAGTATCATTGAAATTTCAAGCAGTTGGGAAAGTAGATCTGTGTTACATCAAGATAGATTTTTTTTTTTATTTTATTTTATTTTTTTTTTTAATATACATTTTCCCTCTTGTATAACACATGCACACTTACTCTCTTTTGAGCAATAATGTTGGCATCTTAATCATGATGACATTACAAATGATATTTCATGATGATGATCCTTAGTATCCAGTGTATAGTGTGGCAAGTCTGAGGCAAGTCAATTTGAAAGTCTAAAACTATTGAATTAAAAAATAATTATGTAGATTAACATTTTCTAACTTCCTTTTGACTTACCAGTCCTGGTCTGGTTAAGCTCTCATTGACTTGAGCAGAGCCAAAATTTTGTTCTTCATCCTAAATTGGGATTAACATAATGGAGTATTATTTTTAATGGTGCTGTAGGGTGCATTTTTCATTTGCTGTTAAAGTTTCTTTGTGTTAAGCACATGTGAAACAAGGAAAATACCTATGAGTTTGCATATGCCAGTTTTTAAAATAAATATTGAATTTGAATTAAAACATTAGATAAAACTAAGTCTTCTTACATTCTGTGGCAACTGTTCTAAAGTTTTTCTTGGCTTTTTGTTCTGTAGTCTTTTCTTTCTTAAGCATATTTCTAACCAAGTGCATTTTGAACCTCTTCTAACAACCTTGATTTGGTTAACCCTTATTTTTCTTGTGTGGAGGAAAAAGAACCAAAGATTTGGGGGTTTTCTAGTGGCTGAAATTCTAGGGTTTGGCCTGTTCTGAATTTTCCTTTTGGTTCCTATGACACTCCTGTTTTTTGGCGATCTAGATCTTGGTTTGCCTGGGTTTGATCTCGATTGGCTAGCACAGATCATCCTCGGGTTCTTTAGCCACTTCTGGAGACTATGTCCAGTGCTTTCAGGGCCTCTGGTACCTCCGTGAAGCATATTGCTATGAGCCATCACTCTGCCTTTCTCATGTAAGAGAGTTCCTCTTGGCCAGCTAGGTATTGGACAAGCAACTCTTTGCTTAAGGTACCTTCTTTTATCATCTGCCACTTGTGGCGTGTTGCGGTAAGTAGTCTGGGATTGTAAAATACCAGATACTGTTTGGTAAAAGTACTGCTTTAACTTACACAAATGTTTAGCATTTTAGTGACCTTTTACATTATTTGTTTGTACTTTATCCTGTTGCTGAGCAAGTAATTTTACAGTGTCCGCGTGTTTAGCCTCTATTAAGTTAAATACAAGGGTGTCTATTGACGTGGCACTGTAGTCTGACAGATATTCAAGTGAAATATAAGAAAAATTTTTCCCATGTCAAGTTATCAGTTACATAGTAATTACACCTATTTGCTTTTAATTTTGGTGTGAAGTTGGGGGAGGTGAATGAGTTTGTCTACATGTATTGGATTGGTATTTAATTGGGGTGGTAACGCTTATAGTCAGTCATGAAAATTTCCATTTAGTACTGCGTTGCTTTTCATCTATTTTAGTTATGATTTCAGTGCATATGTATTTTCAGTGTTTTCATAACAGCTGGTTTGGGGATGCAGGATTATTTTAAAAGCAGTATTTTACTCTCTGTAGTTCTAAAAGTGAGAGATTCTTTCTATATGCAGCTGCTGTTACATAGGATGAGTTTCAGAAACTTTTTTCTAAATTACATATATTTATAGAAAAATATAAAAACATTAAGCAGTTTTAGCAGAGAAAGCTTTAGTGGGTATTACCTACTGCTAGCTGACTCGTTCATGTCTTTTTTAAGGCTAAAATGTTAACTTTTGCTGCAGGACTTGAAAGATGTAATGAGAAAGGCAGGGGAGGTCACCTATGTGGATGCACACAGAAACAACAGGAACGAAGGGTAAGTTAATTTGGGGTCCAAATCTGTATGATAACTGAAACTGTTAAAGGCAAGATTATCCTTCTAATACAAAAAGAAATGAAACATAAATCTGTGGTGTGGCTTAGATGCTGAAATTTCTCCAATTTAAAAAAAAGTAATACCCTGTCAGTAAGTAGGACTCAGTCTCTCCTCCCTAACATGAAACAATGTCAAGACAGAAGAAGGGGGAAAACCTTTCCACAGTTGGGTTCTGCTGTCTTGAACTTAGGGTTATTTATGTATAATAATTTATGATCTAATTTTGACTTCTGAGGCTAGAATAATTCCTGTCCGTGGCTTCTTTGCACTGGTTCAACAGACAAAAGTAATGAGAAATGAACATATAACCAATCTGCATAGGGAATACCTACCTGCCTGCTCTCCATTCTTAATTCTGCAGACTACAAAGGTCCTGGACAATAAAGCAGGAGAGAGGGAATTATGAATGGAGCGTCTGTGCTGGCCAAACAGTGCTCTATGGCCACTGCAAGCAAATGTAACTTAGGCTTTTTTTGAGGGGAAAATGGATTAAAAAAACAAAGACGGGATTTTTCTATTCATTGTTAAAAATCTAAATAGGGCAGGAGACTCTGCAAGTTTATTTTGTTTCTTGGACAGCTTTAGAATGCAATTTAGCAGAGGACTAAAAGATACTTCCTCGGCTGGTGCAGTTTTGTGCACCAAAAAAACTTCCTGGATTTTTTCCATCTCGTTGCAGACGAGAGTTTCGGGAAGGTTTAAGAAAATGTGAAAGGTACGGATGGCTAGGACTGGTAGTGTCATGTTTTCCTGTTAACAAAGTTAAAAATTAGCTTTTGGAAGATAAAACATCAAGCTGTGAATTAGCAGATTTTCTGAAAAAGGCACAAGCTTGTTCTCCTTGCTTTTTTCAGTTTCTCTGAAACTTTTTTTTTTTCTTTCCTGATGGTACACAGGGTTGTGGAATTTGCATCTTACAGTGATATGAAGAGTGCACTGGAAAAATTGGATGGCACTGAGCTGAATGGACGCAGAATTAAACTGACTGAAGATCACAGAAGGCATAGGTATGTCACCTGATCGATAAAATTTTGCTGAGGGCATAGATTTAGGTAGTATCGATGCCAAAGTTTTATGATGTAATTCTTTGGCCCCAAGCTAAATATCACAGCACAGAACTACTTTCTAGCAGTGTAAACAGATTTAGATAAGAACTAACTTGCTGAAAATAAGGTAAATAGAACACTGTTGGATGATAGCAAGAATATTTTTTTTTGTAAAGATAAAACTTTATAGCTAAATGAAAGGATTAAAAAAAATGGAATTTTGGCATTAAAATAATTTTAATTTAATAGAAAAGTGCTTCACAGTCCTGTGAAATGTCTCTCAAATACTTGTGGATTCCAGCCTTTTTATGAGAATAAAAGAAAAACAGCTTGCTTGCGTTATTCCCAAAGCAGTTCTGCCATTTAGTCATTAAAAAAAATGTTAGCTGTAGCTCTTTCATTGTCTCTCTGAAAAATAAATCAATTTATTTTCATGAAAAAAAGGATAGAGAACTAGAGAAGGCATTAAACTCTCAGGCCTTAAAGCATACTGGTGTTCCATGCCTTTAGAGACATTTGTAGCATCTTGAAAGAAACCCCATCTAATATACATGTTTCTAGAGAGAATAAATACAACTGGTATGAATTTTCATTTCTGTGTTTTTCTTCACTAAAAATTTGGCTAAAAAAATTTTTGTCTGCTACTGGGGCAGGAGGAAGCATATTTTATTAGGTAAGTTGGATTTTCCTAAGCTAGTGGAGAATGTGAAGACTAGCAGTTCCTGCTCTCCTTGGCCTAACAATATATTATGATGGAGCATAACAGAAATCCAGCAGTACTCCGAAATAACTGAATGCTGTGCATCGTGCATTCAGATGGATGTGCTGTGCATACAAAGTAGCTGAGTGTTTAAATTGAGTTTTTTAAATTTAGTAGGAAGTGAGACTACAGCTCTTAATTGTGTTTTCTCTAGAAGCAGATCTCGATCAAGGAGTTACTCAAGATCTCGCAGCAGGTCCAGGTCTACAGGATCTTCCAGATCGGACAGCCGGTCCAGGTCCAGGTCAAGATCAAGGTCCAGGTCCAGGTCTCGCTCTCGATCCCGGTCCCGATCCCGCTCTCGATCCCGGTCTCGTTCTCGCAGTCGTACACCTAAAAAGAGTTACTCGCAGAAAAGCCACCGCTCCAGCTTGCTAGCTTCTTCCCCATCTCCCTCTTCTTCTAAAAGAAAATCTCGTTCTAGGTCGAGCTCTGCTCATAGCCGTAGTTAACTTGCTCTTAGAGATGTATTAATGCATTTAATTTGATTCAAGTTTCTTGAAGACTTGAGACAAATTATACATGAGAACTGGGAGGGGAAGAGTTAACACGATGAAAGGGTAACCTCCTCTTACATTGCCAAAGTGCCTGTCATCAAATAGGCCATCTCTGAGAGGAGGGGCTGTCAGCTTTCTCCTTTCAGTGAAGTCTGGAGTGGGAAGTCTTTTTTTATGTTTTTTCCCTGCTATTAGTAAACATTTTTATCATAGATATATTACGTACACATAATGCTGAGGTAATGGGATGAGACAATATGCTGCTTTCTCCCTCTATTGCCCCTACTTTCCCCTCCACCTCCAAGGCCTTTGACTTCCAAAATACTCTTTTAGCTTTTGTCCTTGGTATTAAGTCCCTGAGAACAGGAAGTATAGATTTTATTCCTTTAAGGTTCTGTGGCTGTTTTTCTGTGTGAGAATGAATGGACCAGCTGAATTTAGAGTTCACTTTTTTTCCCCCTTCGCTTGGCTTAACAGGCTGTTTTAAGTTCCAGCTTTAAATGACCTTGGTAATATGCTTAATTTGCAACAGACTTTCAGGAATACACATTGGTCAGTTGAATATTGCTCAGTTGGATAGTGAATCAATACAATGTTAACCAGTAATGAAAGCTGGAATTTTCTGTTAAAATGAGATGTACCATCCAGATGTCAGGATTATTGAGACTCCATTATACTAATTTTCCAGTAATTCACTAGTATGTGGTATTGTACGTAGAGGCCTTATTTGACAGGTGACTCCATAAAACTGCACAGAAATGTCAATATGCATGTCCATGTTTTTGATGTTCATAAAAGTGACATAGCTTTCATACCCAAAAAGTATGATACTGAATAACATGTGTATGACTAGCAATAGTCTTGATGGAAAGGAAGGTTATTTTAGTAATCACAGCAGCAAAATTCCCAGGAAAAGTGTAGTCAGTTGTGACAGGAAACATTAATCATATTAAAGCATAAAGAGCATAATTTCTTTAAATCTCCTGAATGCACAGTTGTTTTGATTAATAGAAATTTCCACTGCAAATACTGTTTGTTCTTATAATTGGAATTACATTTTTTTAACTTCTGTATTGTTAAAGAAGGGAAACATTTTTGGAAAAATATGTAAATTAATCCCAAAGTCTTACATGTGTTTAAATGTACCATTCCTAATAAAATAAAACCTTTTTCTGGCTTACTTTGCAGTTTTGTTTCGTAACGTTACTGTTGCTGTTGTTCGCTTCGTACAGTCTTGCAGACATGATCAGAAGGAGATTTATGTGAAGGTGTACCCACATGGAAGCAAGCAAAATGTAAACTAGAAACCAGTTATGACATGTAAGTAACCAGATGCTGGCTAGTAGGAGGATAGGAGAGGATTTACTCTCATGGCCATTGGTGGCTCTTTGCATGGGTGGCAGATAGTAATCTCTCCCCGGTCCTTGCAGAAGATCTGTGTGATACCTCCTCGTCCACCAGCTCAACAAAAGAACCAACAACCAAATGGCTATAGGTGTTGGAATCTTCCTATAGGTGAAATCATTTGTCACTTAAAATACGGTGCCAGAGATTCTTATATTGCCTACACTACTTCAAGGCTGACACCCTTTCTAGAACAAATTACTGCTGATCATGTTATTTGCATGTGTGGCTTGGTGTGATCTGAATATGCTGGTAATTCAGAAAGAACACAAGGAACAAATAGGAATAGCTTTGCAGAGGAATCTTAGCAGCCTGTTGGGAAAGCTGGGGTATGCTTAGCTGTGTTAAATGCCAGTGTCACCTGCTTTGGTAAATTTGTTACACTACCAGAAATACTCCCAACGATGTCCACTGCATACCTAGGCCCTTTGAGATTGGCAAGTGCAATATCAGAGACCTTGAATGCTTCTGACCACAGCATGCTTACCTTGCAAATAGTTTAAATGTAGAGCTAATGTAGATCTTGTGAATTTTATTAATTCTGGATTCTTTATTGTACGTCATTTCCCTTTCATAACTTTTTGTTGATTCAATCAGCAGTGGCATGAGTAAGATCAATATAGACCAAAGAACCAGCCTCTCCTTTCCCCCCCGAAATACCTTGAGGTTATAAGCAAGCTTATAATTGTTGTGATTGCAGCCATAAATACATACAGCTTATTTCTGAAGCTCGTAGATTTGTGTTGCTATTAATACTGGTTAGAAGTACATTTATTTTTTTTAACTTATTTTAAATGCTATGATTGAAGTGATAGTGGTTTAGTATAGAAACACCTATGACAGTATTTCTTTTCTGTGCTGGCGTAGTAGCGGTTTAAACATCTTTGCCAGCACAGCTGCACCCAAGTCAACTGTAGTACTGGTTTCTAAATGTAGCAACAGGTAACCGGGGACTGCAGATTGTAGGGTGGTGTTACCAGTGCAATGTGACACCATGGAAATAGACCTCTCGCTAATTTTCTTACATGTTTCTCAAGGTGGCAAGCAGCATCTCTTTGTTCCCTTAAGATACACAAAGGTGTTAAGGTGAGGAAAAGGTGAGCTTTTGAAATGCTAAGAATATCACATCTGATCTTTCTCTAGGGAGCGATCTGTTTATGGTAGATGTGAACTTGGCAGCTTTCTCGATATTTATTTGAAGGGCAAGGATAGGAATCTTTAGCAGCTAAAAACAGTTTCCTTAAAGGAGAGGTTGAGTCCCTGGTTACTCAGCTCTTAGTTGTTTCTTTTGGTATATTAATTTAGATGCCTGTAAAAATAATGGATTTTGAAGCCCAAATTTTTATTGTGCATGTGACTGTTTTCCATGGCTTTTTCGGTGTCAAAAAAGCTTAATGTCCAAAAATGTATGTGAGGGAGAAGGCAGAAGGGTGATCTGACTCCTGTCCCCCTCCTCCCCCCTCCCCGTTTCCTGCTGTGTCACCACATTATTTTTTTTAATTATTTTTACTTAGAGGACAGACTATGAATAGCAGACTGGATTTTTTTTGTCTTTAGAAAAAAAAACAAAACCCAAACCAAACCTCAAGACTATCATATCAGGAAGTCCTAACAATTTTGAGCAGGTTTCATAGCAGGACAGTGCTGTTTGGTTCACAGTAGAGTTGGAAATGAAAGCTACATTATTCATTGGCGTTCAAAGTTTTGACCTTACCTGACATGTAAAATGAACTACAACTGTGTACACTTAATTAATTGCTTTGATGATGGATAACTCATTGTGTCTGACCTCATCTTGGAGCAAACCTGATCTGGAATTTGTAGTTTTAGGCATGTGAGTTGGTGCTAGAGGGGTTAAAAAGACAGCTCAGCAGCCTGAATAAAATACTTGCTTGGTGGTCAGCAAGTGTGGAAAAGCCTTGAGAAGGAGGAAGGACTGGGGTAAATAGAAGCCAAGAAGGGAAAAACAGGAAAAGAGGGGAGTTTGAGTTTTGACAGGTGGCAGTTTCACTGTCAGACTTGTATAGATAGACCACAGAAAGGAATACAACCTTTATATACAACAGTTCAAATTTAGAGGTTTCCTCCAGCAGGGTGATCTTGAGATAAACAAATTGGGGAAGGTGTGCTTGTTTGTTTTGTTTAAAAATATTTGGTCTTCGCTGAAGAGTGAAGGGTCTGAAGAAAACTGAAGTTGGATCTGTGTTCCTGTGAGAAGATGGTATCTCTAAGTCAGGTAGGCATCTTGATTGGTAGACCTAGACTTGCTTGGTAGATTCTTTAGGGAACAAATTATAGTCTGAAACTTGGCTGAACTATTACTGTATTTCAGAAACCAGATTATTTTAAAAATAGAACATCTTTAGACTGCGTTGGAACAAATTATTTATCTGTATAAGGTGCCTTAGTTCCAACTTTACAGAGCACAAGAATGTAAGCTCCACTTTAAAATAACCATAAATAGACTTCTTCAATGTATTAAAGTCATACCTTTTACAGGCAGCATGTTCCAACATCTGACACTTTCCATGAGAAAGCTGGGAATCATCCCTTCCAACTGGCAGAGAGCTGCTGCTCCCGGCCCTGCAGAGCCACAGGGAACAAAGCACTGAAGTCATGATGCACCTACAAGTGAATGTGTCATTACTCCTCCCCTTACTCTGCCAACCCCAGCCTTGAAGAGCGGTTTGCACACATTTCTCCTCAACAAGTGGAGGTGACATAAGACAATACAAATGACACTTCTTTGTTGCTAATTGCATTCTTGTCAATTTAACACAGGGCTCTCCATCCATGGCTATCCCGGCAGTTTGTGATGATAAAATGTATTATACTTGGCCACGTCGCATCTCTGCTTTACAGAGGAGAACATGAAAGCAAGTGGTGGGGTTGCTGACCTGCGGTGTCCAAAGGAGGAGGTGAGGAGGAGGAAGGTGCCCATGGGAAGGCCGGGATTCCTCAGGGAACAGGCTGGGCTCTGACTCATGCCATCTAGTGGTGTAGGTGCCTGTGGAGCCATGAACCCGGCTCAGAAGGAGTTTGGTTCCTCTCAGGTAAGAAAAAGTTTCTCTTTCAAAACCGAGGTGAAGTAGCAGCGTGCTCCTGGGGAGGAGGAAATGCCCCGGGATCTGTACCCGCAGCGCTCTGCCATTGCTCTAGTGGAGAGGGTCAAGGACGATGAGTTCTGAGGTGGGAAGTTCTCAGCTCTGCCTGCTCCTCCTGCTGCACCCTGATCATAGACCTGAGTCCTGTACAATTCCCAAGTGGCTTTAGTTTTCGTACAAGGGTTTTGGAAGCATATAACTTCCAGTCTGTTTCCTTCATTCCCCCTCCTTAGCCATTGTTTGCTGGAAAACTAAATGCACTGTGTGTACAGTACCCGGGGGCATGTTTCCCATTTTACCAGCCCTGCAATCAGTTACCCCTCCACCCCCTCTCTTTGCAAACCTGCAGAGTTGTTACCCGTTCACCCTGGGGGTGATTTACTAGGACAATATCGCTGATGAGCTAACAGTTATGCCTGGTAGAGGGCTATAGCTGGGGGAGCAGGGCAGGTCGTCTTAAAGGAGGGGATACAGCAGAAACACTGACTCCACATAAGGGAGCCATTCAGGCTTTGGATAGAGTCAGCACCAAGATGAAAGTGCAAGGGTTAACAGGCCGGGGGCCTGGGTTAGAAACAAGGCCAAATTATATGCTGTAGGGAAATACTAGCTAATGGCAGCTCTGTATGTCTGGGTAGTCTCAAGATGTTCAAAGGACAATAACTACTATTGATTTGCTGGGCCCAGGACCATAAGGGAGTAATGGGGGAGAGCAGAAGAGTGTATGGTAAAACCTGCTCTTCAAGATTAACAACGGGCTTAAAAGAAAAGACAGAGTTTCACCGGTAATGAATGATACTTTTGTGTTGTGTGATGGCTTTCTCCTGTAACCAGGGATGAATATCTTCTCTCCGTTCTCTCCTCTTCCACTCTAGAAAACTGTTGAGCTCTGTGGGTATTTAGGTTGAGCTGGAAAGATGCAAATCAATATGCTTAGAGTGGATGTTTCAGTTCAGACCAAGAATTGCTTTGTATTTGTGTATGTAGGTGTGATACATCACTAGAGACCCCGAGATCAGGCTCAGCAGGATCCTACATCCACACTGGATTTGCTTTACCCAACAGCTATTTCTCCTTGCATCTCAGAGGCCCGCGGATATTACGTCATGGTTCATGGAGGTAAGACGTAGCAGGTCACACTTGTGAAGGAAGTGAGCAGCCATTGGTATAGATGAAGTCATTAAAATCTGAAAATGCTCCCACTGTAGGGCCTTGAATGCAGAGGTACACAAAACTCATACTAACGTTTGAGTCAGATTTTAGTTGGGGGTAGGGTGGAGGTGTTGCAACAGATGCTGGCACTGCAATGACAGGAAAGGGAAGTAAGGAAAAGATATACAGGGAAAGAAAGGAAACTGGATGAAATCTTTGCATTTCATATCTGCAGGTGAAAGAACTATTCCTCAGACTCAGTGAATTGGACTGTGGGTCTGGGCCCCACAGTTGGGATTTTCCTAAGTGCCTCAAGGACATCAGGAGTCCAGGTCAGCAGCATTCCAGCTGCTAGCCAGAGCTCTCCAAAAGGGGCAGCAGTCTCTCCTTCTGCTGGTACTGACCACCAGAGAATCAGTATCTGGCCTCTCTAGACAGTCCAGCCATTCCATGCCTCTGGCCAAAGATGGAATTTACCAGAGCTGGAATTAAACACAGCATCTAGTGCTTCTGCCTGAAGTGTTGGGTTTTGATTGCACTTGGCTTTGTTCCTTCTATGTCTTTTTCCCAGTAAAGCTTCAGATCACACTGGATCTTTAGCAAAAGGTATATGCAAGCAGCTCTGCTGTTCTTACACACATGGCTGTTGCCATGTTCTTTGCATCACTGCCAGTTCTTGTGAATGCCTAACTGAAAAGTGATGTGCTCAAAAAAATGAGTTTTCTTATATGTTTAAAAAGCTTCCTCGTTCTTTTCCTTCAAATTGTCGCAGCAGAACACTGCTGATCATGTAGACTGGTCTTCCAGGTTTGCCAAAATGCTTGCTGCAAGCTTTCTGCCCACACCTGCCCTCTATTTGTTTCAATGTGCTTTACCTTTTCCCAATTCGATGATCTAAAATCCACATCTGCTAATTGTATATACTCTCCTAAACTTCTTTTAGTCTGGTAGCTCATACCTCTCATCCTTGAACATCAAAATGATTGCGCTGTGCTGTATTTCCCAGTGAGAATGGATGATATTCAGTATGTAACTTTTGAGACCCCAGATTTCTGAGCAAACTCCTTGCAAACTCTGAGTGAATTTACTTAGCTCAGCTAAGACCTTGCAAACCTGCACTGTGCACTTTCCTACCCTGCATTTGTCTATACTACCTGAACAACAGTAATAGCTGTATGTGGCAGAAGAGTGTGGTGAGAGTGGTTTATGCTTGTACTCACAGGGAAGAAGCTGTGGTGTTAGGTAGCAGCCAGTGCCGCCTTGGACTTTAGAGTCTAAAGCTTCTTCACCATGTTGGTGGGGTTTACGTAGCAGTGGGGTTTGTCCCGTATGTAGGCAATTAGATCTCGGGGTGCCAGCTGCAATGCAATCACAGGGCAAAACTTAACATCTCATGAAGCAAACAAGGCCCAGGTGGGTTCACAGCATGGCAGCAGCAGTGCTTTCAATGAATATTCAGCTCTCTGAGAGCTCTTGCCAAGGGCCAGTGCGCTCTGAACAGGGACAAAACCTCACCTCAGCTCCCACCGAGGTTCCTGCTGGCAGGAGGCAGGCAGGGCCCCCAACCTCCTCTGGCTGCCCTCTGGGCTCTGAGTAGCCCCTTCGTTAACGCCATTTGCAACCCCTTGTCTGCTCTCCTGGAGGTTGGCTGGGACCCCACCAGATGGTGCTGTAACACTGCCTCAAGGAAATACCATTTCTAGAAGATACTTGCAAAATCCGTCTTAAAATAGCTCTGGTGACCCAAACCATTGCCTTTGCGGAAAAAAAATACACACACGCACAAACCATAACAACACCCCTGACTAGAGCACTGGAAACTCTGTCTTCCTCCCCTCATGTGGTTTCCGGCAGGCTCACCTGCCGGGGAGCAGAAGGGAGAGGTGGGGGAGCAGGATGGGGCTCAAAAATCAACCGAGGAGCTGAGCCATGTGCAGCTCTCTCAAAGGATCTGCTAGAAGCCATGCCTGTGTGTGCAGATATTGTGTGTCCCATCCCTCTGACTCTCTGGCACTGCCTCAAGACTTCAAAAGTCCCTCTGTTGTGAGGACCACTGTGAGGACTGATCCAAAGGGCTGTGGACCCGTTTCTCCAGGCCAGCTGCAACCTGGATTAGCTCCCCAGGCCTCCACAACAGCTTCTGAAGGACACGGAGGCCCCAGTTGCCTGCCTTCGTGACCACTGGCAGGGCAGGGGAGGGAAATGGAGAAATGGAGAGGTTGAATTAAGATCCAGATACTAAATTGCAACGGTAAAAACCACAAACCAACCACCCAGGAAACCTTCACGGGCTGGTCTTGAAGAGGCAAATGGTTAGCAAGGCTTAGGGGTAGTGAGAGCTTACAGATGCTTCTCTTCTGCACTAGACTGAGAAATATAAAACTGTCTGCGGAGGAACCAGCCACCCCCACCCCCAGCATCCTCCTTCCCACACACACGTGTGCTCGCAGGAGCTGCCCAGAACTGGGGCTGCGCCCTTCTCCTGCCATGGCCCTGTTCCTAGCCAGCACTAGGTGTACACTGAAATGTTGCCACTCCTCCAAAGGAGTCTGGTGACACAGAGGTTTCAGGAAATAGCTTTTGGCTTGGTCTGGAGAAAATTTCTTGCTATCTGGGTGTGACTTCTGAGCAGATTGCTTTTCTGTTATGTTTTACCACCTGGTACCCTGAAGCAGCCCTCTTGCAGCAGGGCTGTTATTCCCTGGAGGCTGTCCCTGTGGGCTGGCTAGGGGCTCTTTCTCCACATGTGCCTTTCACTGGTCCACTCCAGAGACCTCTGGCATTTACCCAGCCAACTCCTATAGGCTCCACAATCCTGTCCTCTGCCAACATCAAAGCTGCACAGAGGCTACCCCAAGAGAGCATCCCTCACCTCTAGTGAAGGGGCTCAGCTCTCCCTCGTTGTCAGTCCTTTTACAGCACGTGGACTCAACTAGCTTTCTTGATTTACCCCCGGTACCTGGCAGTGGGATCAGGGCCTACAAAGTCCAGATCACTCTGCTTGAGAGCTTGAGGCCAGAACCGTCACACTCCAAACTCCTGGAGGATTGAGATCAGCTCCCAGAGTGCCTGGACCCGCTTCTTGCAGCGTGGCAACAAGGTGGTAGGTTGTTTAATCATCTTGTGGTCCCAGAGAAGGCAGCAAAGCCCTGGTCTTGGATTTCCCTGATCCTATTTGTCTTTACCGGGAGTCCAGCGTGTGCTGCCTTGCCCTCCTGGTATCTGCTGGACTGAAATGCAGAGAAGACAGAAATGCTAATGAGCTTCCAATCAGCCCAACTTCCCATGGGCATTACTTTCCAAGGATTTGGAAAACCTTGGCCAAACAGCACAGGCCGTTTCCAACAGTGTCAATTTCATTTGGGTTAACACATTTCATTGCTTTCTCCTTAGTTTAACAGTGTTGGCCGTCCACTCTGAGCTCTGTTCTCACCAGCAGCACTGGCAGAACTGGGAATGCTCTTGCTCTTTCCTCTTCCTACAGTACATTGCTAATGTGCCTCCATCTTCCATGTGCCACCTTCCAACACCCAGCCGGTATCACTGGCCTGCTAACAGCCATCTCCCCAGCTCCAGAGGCCAGGACATCTCAGCTCTTTGCCTCAGAGCACATGAAGAGTTCCCCTTCACACCCCCTCCTCTGCACCCTGGGTTCACTTGTTTTCCTTTTCACTCCAAGAAGCAGGTTCAGGCCACTCAGCTATGAGTTCTCCAAGAACAAGCACCAGAATCGAAAGGCAGTGTTTGGGAATGTTGTCCTGGGGTATTCAAGCAAACGCTTTCCATCGTGTCATTTACCGAGACAATGCGCCGCTGTGGAAACCTTTTCCAGTCTTTAGTACCTCGGGGACTTTCAGCATCTTCTTGGGGCCAGACCGTCACTGGGGGTTTGCCCCACTTCTCCTTTGTAGCTGAGGAGCACGTAAAGAGGGCAGGGGAAGTGGCTGCTGACAGCGGGGTGGGAGCGGGCTGCCGGGTGACGCCGGGCCGTGAGGCAAGGCCGCCGTGAGGAAACAGCGGGGCCCGGGGGATGCGAGAGCCGCGCGCGTGTCAAAGGCAGGACGGAAGCCTTGTAGAGGGGCAGCCCTATTTTTAGCCACCTCTTGCAGAACTTCGCTAGGGCTTGCTGGAGTCAACGGCCACTTCCCCTTTCCTTGATGTAAGCAGAGCTGGCTGGGCTCAGGTCTGTTTTTATTTAGCCGCTCACCCCATGGTATGGACGGAAAGGGCACTCCAGCCCCCTGGGCTCGAAAACACCCGTGGCCAGAGGGTGCTAGGTAAGGAGAACAGAAAGCATCTAGCACTTCCCTGTCTCCATTTGAGGGCTGCGTAGAGGTAGAAACTGAAGCTGAGGCTGCAGAGCGTGACTGTTAGTCACAGCGAGGGGGGATTTTGCAAGGCGGCGGGTGCAGGGCACAGGGCAGCGGCGTGCGAGCAGCACTGAGGAGCTTTGCCAGGGCTCTCCTGCTGCAGGGACAGAGCATGGCCCTGCGACCCGCGCTGTCCCGCGCCACTTCAACCTGCCCCGCCACCCGAGGCGCGTGGGAGGTGACAGGGTTTCACTCACCTCAAATTAGCACAGGGCATTGTGGAGAGCAAGAGGTTGCCATGAACCTCCTCTGCCTGGTTTCCTCTCCACGTTTGTCAGTGTTGAATGACTCCTACGCCTGCTGCAGGGAAACGTGCAGGGAGAGGCCATTCCTAAGCCAGGCTAAGAGAATATTAGGCAGCAAGGCAGAGGAGCAGCCACAGAGAAGCATGAGCTGAGATGTGACTTTTCTGTACAGACTGTAACCACCAAAACAGGTTCCAGACTGGTTCCAGTTGCTGGGGGTTTGGATCAGTAGGACTTACAGTATTCAGTTCAGGGACAGAGTAGGAAGGCCTAGGTAGCCAGAGCTTGCTGCTGGTCCCTGCTTGTTGTCAGAGAGGAATGAGATTGCTGTAGGGATGGCAGAAAAGCACATTCAGAGCCAAAACAGATGCAGTTCTGGGGCATTTCCAGAGTGAACCCTTCCCAAGCCTGGCAGTGGTGAGGAGCAGTAATGGGAAGAGCAGATGAAAATCACGCTCACTTTGTGGCTAGAGAGGTTGATGTTGCTAAGGCAGCAACACAAAGCCCTGCCCCATGCTCGAGTCTCCCTGCTATAACTCTTTCAAACCCACACGTTTAACACCAATCCCAGAAGCCTAGAGCTCCCCAGAGCCCCTCAAATATCTCTGCAAGGCTCTGATCCATATCTCACATTTCATACTGTTCTTCATCCCTATGGCAGATACATTCATTAAATAGCCCATTCTCAAGCTGGATTGATTAAGGCAGGATTCTTGAATGAGAGGCGTGGATGGAGAAGTGCTTTGTACTATAGCCATTGTATTGAGAAGTGAGAAATCCTTTACAAGGAGGTAGGAAGAGGAGTAGGTTATTGCCAGTGCCATTGCTTTCCAAAGGAATGTGCTGGAAAGTCCCTCTGGCCTCTAGATGGCAGCCCTATGGCTCACACCCCAGAGTGCTGAAAAACACAGAAACGGGGCATAAAGACAGGCCTCACACTGCACTAGTTCAGCTCAAAACCTACAGGCAGCCAAGACTGCATTGA